GAGGGGGAAATGTCTCTTTGGTGGAATTGCTAGTAGAAATCAGATACTTTGTTACTTTCCACTACTGGTTGGTATCTGAGGCATAATTACTTTAAATACCATATTAAAACACTGAATGTTTAGTGTAATCATATTAAATGAATGCTAAGAAGTGGAAATTACAATTTACTTGAGCTAGTTTTGTTTTTTCATAGATAAATGAAAAGGAGTCATCCTGGACTAGTTTCTCATTCATGGATGAAGTCTTCATTTTATCCCTTTGAGGGGTGATTCTCCACGCAGAAGCACTAAGACAGCATTGACCTACATTACTTCATGTATTTTTGGCATACAGTATGTCTTTTGCTATTCTCCCTTGCTGTGACACCACATAATCCCTTTGTGTAGGTTGGATTGATGGCGTACAATCATTCATTCGTCTCTCCGTCACTAGACGGGCAGGTTGCTATCAATGTGTAACCACCATGAACCAGGAAGGTTTCGTGACTCCCAGGATTACACAGGCTGCCGTTGTGCTGCCTTTTGCCTTTGTGAACAATGCAGGTAATGGTATACCATTACAGGAACTAGATATATAAAAGATACCTTTTGTTAAAGTGTGTTAAAGCGCCAGAATGAACTCGTTCTAAAAGCCTGTGTGGATCAGTATCGCTGAAAAGAAAAAGGTAAAGATATGATTTGCTCTGACATAGTACCAGCCCTGTTGGATTAATGGCATTTTAAGAACTTCATCTGAACATCCCATTGAGCCTAATGAGGGATGCATCCTTTCCCCTGAAGCTAAAGTCCTGTCTCTGTGGGAACCAACTGATAGCAGGTAGACTTTGCCCTGAAGGCAAACCAACACGACGGGAAGAGCTGCAGAGCAGATTCCCGGCTGTCACAGCAGAGGTAAGACACATTCGAATGGATTACAGCTGTAATTCATTGACTTTTTTTTGAAGTCAGACAGCAAATGATCACTTGTTGAAGACTTGAAAAACACAATGGGTACTTTTGAATGCTTCATTCATCATTTCTCGGGATGTACAAGCCTTTCAGGCTAAATAAGCGAACAGAAACCAAGTCTACTTTATGTCATGTAAATATTTGAAAATAAGTCTAAATATATTTCCATGATGTCGTGACCATCACAGGTGTTAGTTTGGGGAGCTGAAGTAGTCAAAATGTGGTTTTAGGTGCCAGACGATTTATCACTGCCATGAGTTCAAAAGTCATTACTAATTACTGATATTACAGGAAGTGGATAGTGTTACTGATTAAACCATTTAAATGCAGTGCCGATGTTTCTTTGAAAGTGTTGTGTGGACCCTGCAGCAGTTCTTTTTGTCTACAGTCAGTGCAGTCCTGGCTTTACTGACGTTTTATATCATACAGGCTGTAAACTTCAGTGTATGATACAGCATTGGTCATTGTGTAGCTAATGAGAGCGTTGTGTCTTTCAAGACTAATGCAAAACCAGGGACTTTGTCTGTTACTCATGTCTTCACAAGCTATAGAATGGCTGAGATTACTGTCTGTCCTTGGTGACAATTGAATTTCCTCTGCGAGCAATTAACCGCAACCTATTTGGGCATTAAATATACATACAGCTCTATTAAATGGATTAAGGCCATAATTATGGACGTTAGTCACGGATTGCTCTTGTTTGTGTGATGCATCATTTTGTAATTACCCATTTGTTTGTTCCACTCTGACATCGCCCCATTTGCCAATTGAACTTCACTGATGAAAGCGCTGATGCTGTTGAACAGGAGGCTTTTGTGGTCTCAGCCACGACCTTAACCTACCTGTATGTCTGACGTGTGTTCTCCGTTGCTGCTGGGCCTCAGTCGATGAAAGCTTTTGGTGGAATGGACCAGACTAACAGCAGCAGCAGCAGCAATGGCGGTTATGGACCTCCTCCCCCTCCGTACAACACTCAGGACTATGGACAGAGTTCTTACACAGGGATGAGCTATCAGGTTAGTAGCAATATTGGAACCTTTTCTAATGAGTAGTGAGCTGAAACTGTTTTTTCCTCTTCATTTTGGATTTAATGTCCAGCTATTAGTACAGCATGAGTCAGAATCACACACTTCCAGCCTTATCCTGATCATGGTATCATCATCAAACCTTATATTAAACCTTAAATCATTTGATTAGACATCGATGATTGATTTTCTTTCACTGATGCTCTAAAAAAAAAAGCGTGTCAATTATGAGTAGAATATTCTTGTACTACCTGTGTTGTTGTTGGTTCGGATGAATCAGGTCGGGAAGGGGAACGTTGCAGTGGTCTCCCCTCCTGGCGCCTACGATGACATGGCCCGTCCTGAGCACATGGCAGCAGCTGGAGGCGACCGGCAGTTTGGTGAAGCTCCACCTGACTACTGTCACGGCTTAGAGGACAGCGGCTTCAGTGACGCAGCCATACCAAGAGGTGAGGGCTAGAAGAAGGGAGGAATGGGCAGAGGGAGAAAAAGAAGAGCGAGAGAAACCAGTGTGTTTTTGTTTGCGTGGTCAGAGCTGAACAAGGATAAACAATATGTGCTCCCTCATTGGCCTTGCAGTGTTTTCTTGAAATAGATTTGAAATTGAAAATTATTCCCTGATCTCTGCTGTGCCCTGCCTCATCTCGCTACCGCCCACGCAACACAAATTATGAAATGAGAGGTTGTTTAGTGAAAACAGAACAATTTCTCAACATAAACAGCCCTACCTGCCTGCCTGCCTGCTTTGCACTGGCAGATCTCTTTTTAATGCTGTCGTCTCTCTGTCTGTCTAACTTTCTATGCGTCTCGTCTCACTATGTGTCTTTCTTTGTGAACAGGTTTCATAAGGAAAGTTTACTTGACCTTGATGATTCAGCTGCTGGTGACTGTCGGAATCATCTGCGCTTTTCTTTACTGGTGAGACGCCGTGACACAAGGGAGTTCCCAAAAGAGATGAATCCATGTCAGGCACCCATCCGTCAATCCACATTTAGTGTCGCGTGTGAGAGCATCCGCCATCACACAGACGTACCATAGTTGTCCCCACAAAAACTTTGAGCATACAACCCAACACGGCTTGAATCCCCATAAATATGTAAGGCGAGACAAGATGGGGGGAGAATAAAGGAGCGTCTCTGCCACATAATATTTTTGGCTTGCAGTAGTTTGAAAGGTTTATATGTTTTGTATAATAGATGTGGTAGAACGCTGCTACGGTAATTTCTTTTCATAAATTGTATCCTGCTCCCATGTGCACAATACTCTGTCCTCTGTTAATATTTAATAAAATCATTCTACTGCCTCTATCAAAGGAATGGTGCCACTATTAAACACTCCTCTCTCTCCCGTGCTCTCGTGGAATAACAGGACCGCTCTCAGGGAATGGACATGGGCCAACTCCTGGTTCTCCTACACAGCAATGTGAGCCATCGAAAACATTCAGTTAGATTGTCTAGACGCTGCACACTTTCATGCTTTTAACCAGTTTGACCAACTACAAATCTCCCGTGGGCGAGTTACCGAAATGAAAATGTCGCTCATGGAAATCCATAGAGGTAAATCACAGGCTGTCACCCCAGTCTGAATCCCAATCCAGGGAACTGCCAGCTACACTGCATAAATAATGCACTCAGTGAATTCACATATTGAACATAGTGCTTTTTTTGCCTGTTTATAGCCTTTTTATTTGCTATTTACGATACGCTCTATATTCTCTGTGAAATAGGGCATTGGTGATGGTGCTCATCGTGGCCTTGTCCTGCTGTGACAACCTCCGTCGTCAAGTCCCCCTCAATTTTATAGCCCTGAGCCTGTTTGTGAGTAGACGCAGTACCAGCCAGGCATCAAATTAAACCCCCACCACACCTGCTCTATTTCACAGGAGGGGTTTTTTGGTCATGCATTTACTTTTGCATGTCTATCCATCCCTCTCTCTCTCTCTCTCTCTCTCTCTCTCTCTCTCTCTCTCTCTCTCTGTGTCTCAGACTATTGCAGAGGGCCTGATGCTGGGAGCTGTTTCAGTGTGAGTATCAAAACCCCATTTCATCCATATCTGGTAGCGTGCTGGATGCCAGCAATGAAGCCATCAAATCTGATAAGATGTTATCATAACTTTAACAAATTAAAAAGCACATGGAATCATATTTTCCGATGTTTCCGGAAGAAGTTAAATGGGAAGCGTCACAAATAGTTCAAAACCAATTTGTCTGTACCGGTGCCCGTGTAAACACACACGTTACCTTTTCAATCTGAGAGACATTTCGTCTCTTAGCAGCGTGTCACTCTCATATTAAACTGCCTGACTATCAATAATATATTGAAATTACCATATTTATGGGACATTGCCATAACTGAAGCTGTAACTGATATGCAATGAACACAGGCAATACATTATGCCATGCTTGTCCGGAGGGGGTCCTCACTCATCACTCTAGTTCAGACACATGATACAGACTATGAAATGAAAAACGGCCACATTTCCTATGGGAAAGTAATGTTTCCCTTTTATGATAGACCTGTTGGTGAATACACTCCTTTGACATGATACTACGAGGTGTCTTTCTCACTGCACATCCGTTTGATGTTTCTGTCTGCAGCTACTTTGATGCAGAAGCAGTTCTGTGGGCTGTGGGGGCAACGGCGCTGGTGTCCTTCGCCTTGACTCTGTTCGCTATGCAGTCAAAGGTAAGATCGGTCACACACTCTGAGCTCAGTTTGCAGTGCAGCCAAAAGTGAAATTTCATAAAGTGCAGCTTTGCCATGCTGTCGGTGGTAAATGTGCATATACTGAGCTGTGTTTCCTGTGCAGTCAAAGGAAAAGGTGTTAAACCGAGCTGTTGGCCAGGTTCTCTCATGCAGTGTTTGCTATATGCAGTCAAGGGTTCAAAGGGCTTTGCTGTCCAGGCAAAAGTATGATTACTGCTGAGATCAGTGTGTATTTGTCAATTCCTTGTGTCCAGTGGTGGGACAGAGTTAAACCTCTGGGGCTGTCGTCATGCTGGCAGAGGATGGACCATGGATCTTGAGTTCAGAAATGGCCCCGGAGCCTTTTATTATTTGCTAAATCCCCGCTCTTTCTTTTTTATCTGTCTCCTTTAACCATGAAGTGTATAATAAAGCAAACGCACTCAGAGATTAATCTTTAAAAGGGTCCTTTCCGGGACACACGGGCAAACATGACGCTCCTCCAGCCAGATATACTACATTTTAATTTAAAAAATACTTTGCCGATCCTGATCCCTCGCCATTAATCTCATCTGAAATATAACTCTTGATAATTCAAAGTGGACCCTGACATAGCTTCTGCACCATTTTATTTCATTTTATTTAAAAAAGTACTTTAACACTGTTATTTCTCAATGATGCCACTTGGTTCATATATAATAATATAAATGTATGCTTGCATAAGTGACATTTAAAACAAGTTATGATGCTCTGTTGGCAATAGTCAATTTGCAGAAGTGTGGAGACCTTTTGAGAATCACTTCATTGATAGTTTGTCATGCTTTTTCAATAAATTGCTCATTCAGGACAAAAGTTATCATACAGGCAGCGCGGCAAACAATTCTCCAAGTGTAGGCCAAATTGAAATTGCATTTAGAGTCCCTCTTAATTGCCTCTAAATGTAGTTTGGCTTTTCACACATTTTACTACTTATTGCATCTGAAGGAGCTACAGACATTTATTTCTACTGCTTAGATTGGCTGAAAACTAGCAAGCAGGTGTCTAATGATTATACTGAGAATAAATCTGTTCTTAAATGCTCTCTGCTCATTGGTAATCTGTGGAAAGAAGGCATATGCATCAGGTCTAAATAGCCTGCGTATAGAGGGGGAAACTGTGATATAAATAGTACTTGGCTGTGCCCTCACCCCATAAAAGAGGTTGCTTTTCTGCGTGCGTTCACTCCTGCAAACACTTGCACTTTACTTGTTTTATTTTTCTTTATGAATACACGTTCATCTTGCAGTTTCCAGCTCCACCTCTTGCTCTGCTCTGTTAACTCAGTTCCAGGGCTTTTTTTTTTTGTCTCTGTCACTGTGATGTAAATGTCATGCAGACTGCCTTGCATGTTTTAGCCCAGAGCTCCTCAGGTGATCAGTGTTAGTCATTCTCCTCTTGTAACTGCCATCTTTCTTCTGTCTATCTGAAAAGGGCATGCAGGCCAAAAGGCCACCTCCCCACCCCTCCCCAGTGCCTGCGTTGCAGCTTGTTGATTAATTATCCAGGATCATTACATGCAGAATCGTTGAAAATGTTGAACTGCAATATGTCTTCATCATTTAGCAATCTGTGACAACCCCCCCCCAGCACAGCTGCAATGCAGGCGACCTTGAGCATCCTGGCTTTCATGGCAAAGATCAGTGTGAATGAGAGATGTTCCGTCTACTGTTTTCTGTTTGAGAGGCTCGTCACATTCGGTGTCTTCTCTCTTCTCTCCCCCCCTTTTCTGGCACCAGTGGGACTTCACCGGAGCAAACGGGAGCCTGTGGGTGTTCACCTGGACCCTCTTTTCCTTCGCGTTGCTCTGTGGAATCCTCCGATCGCAGGTAGATCAAGAAGCCGTCATGTTTACACTTGCGTTTGCAGTGAGAACGGGTTTGAATTGAACGGCAGTCAGAGGCAGACGGTGCATACAGCCTCGTATAGCTTTCATCCCCAGGATGTACCGGCGCTGACCTGTGTGCTGAGCAGACTATAAAGAGGAGAGCGTGCACTCTCAAACCTCTCAGGAGCTGCCCTGATCTCAAACTTGATGCATTTAAATGTACACTGCTGTTTGCTGTGATGATGGCTGTAAGTGTTTTAGCCTTAAGCAGCAAATTTACAGAAACAAGCATTCCATTGATTTCAAACTGCTATTTTTACACGACAACAAATGAACTGGAACAGAAAATAAACACCGCTTTCTGAAAGCATATTGTGTGCACTGTGCACCCATTATCAAACCTTTACAATCATATTTACCGTGCGGAACAACTAGAATGGATAAAGGGTTTAAAGTATGCTCGATTTTACAGGATGAGGCGGAATTATTGTGTCTGCAGCAAGCACACTACCATTTTACTAAGATGGGGAATAACTTCTAAATGAATAATTTAATTTTAAATAGTAAAATAGTTGTTTTTGTTAACACATATTACCCCCATTTGTAAAAGAATGTTGCTGATCTTGTCTCTGATTCTTTCAACAGTATCTTTACATCTTATACGCCTGCCTGGGAACCTTGCTGTTTTCCTTAGTAAGTACATTCAAACTTTTATGACAGCTCATTCTTTTATGCAACAACAGAGGTTGACATTTGAAAATGAAAGAAACCATCATCGAGGCTTAAATGTCAAATGAGCATGTGCGATGTACGGTTTCCGGTGTCTGTCATAGTAGTTAGCGTAAAGAGAGGGACTCTGATGTCCTTGTGCCCTTTCATTTCAATTATCGCCCCGCTTAACAGCAGCAGGCTTCATTCTCACAGCCACCTCTCTGCGTGCCTTTGGCATTAACAGCAAATGTTGTGACCCATCCCGTCAGCTGGCGGAACAAACTGCTGCTGCACACAGAGCTGAACAGGCTGTCAGCGGCAAGTCACAACTCACTTTCAGCCTACACGATTATTTACATGGCCTGTTTATCTGCGCAGTCCCCGCTCTCAAAGATAAGAAAATCTGCCCGTGTTTTCTCTCAGACCGATCCCTGTACCAGATCGGCTCGCTGTCTCTTTCATCACACAAACGCAGCGCTGAAGCATCTCTCATCTCTCTCTCTCCGCAGTACTTGGTGTTTGATACACAGCGTATCCTGGGTGGGAAACACAGGAAGTACCAAGTCTCTCCTGAGGAGTACGTGTTTGCTGCTCTCAACCTCTATTTGGACATTGTCTCCCTGTTCCTCCTGCTGCTGCAGCTCATCGGCCTCTGCCGCTAACACCGAGCCTCTGTGTGACAGGCCTCCCTGAAGAAACGCGGAATGTCTTCCTGCACAATGATATCCCATCATAGATCATACATCATGTATCTTGGTTTATATGGAATGATTATACGATTCAGCTCGTACTATAATATACAATATGAGTCAAAGTAGCTCAGCCGTCCTGTAATCTGGGCCACACTTGGAAATGTTTTAACGGACTTGCTGTCGAGAAGATCACATTGTGTGATTCTTCTGGAGCTTAAAGATGCTTTTGGAAACCAAACTAACTCCATTAAAGGACGGAATGTGTCAGTGTCAGCACTCCCATAAAAACCCAGGTGGGTTCTGTCATTTTTCTTTTGCTTAGAATGCAGGTATTTCAATGACAAATAAAAAACACAAATTAAAACTCACCACATAGTTTATTGGCATCACACATCAAACATGTTTTCATATAAAGAGGGAATGTATCAAGTATAGGCTATGAAAGTGCAAATAGCATTTCAAGGATTAGTTGCTTTACAATAGAAAATCTCAGTGAGTTACAAAATGTTATATTTCAAATAAATCACCTGAACATTAGACGTGAAATACAAAGGAAGTACAAATTCCATTTCAACTCGTACCCATTTCATGCACGGCACACTGTTGCACAAAAAGGGGCAAAACTACTTCCATGAAAAATTAGCTCCACAACTTCAAGACTCTTATCATGACTATCTTTAGATTTAATGTGGCTCTATACGAGATATACGGTCGTTCACTTCAGTCAGACAGTCTGTGCAAAAAACACAAGTCTTAAAGGTAAAACACTGATCAATGTGTCGCATTGGTTATTCACAATCCATTTAATGGATTAAACAGATTGCAAATAAACACCTACTTTCTCCATTTTAGTGTCTTTAGGTCACATACAGTAGGTCAACTCATTCCAAAGTCAATACAGTGGTTTTAGTTTGTGTGGAGCAAGAAGCCCTTCTGCACACACAAAAAAAAAAGGGCAACAAAATCTTTTTTTCAAAATATTTGGGAATAAGATTTGAAAAGTATGACATTAACCGTTATCAGTGTTATCCATGAACAAAATACTACTAGAACCAACAAAAAAGCCTCATGCTACAAATATTTTGATGAGAAATCAAGCTCTCATGTCTGCACACTCTTATGAGAGAAGTAACTTTAAGGTAAAAGGTGGTGGTTACACTGTAATTACTGTGTAATTAGCACTCAGAAAATGTGTGAAAAAGAAACAACGGCGATTGACATAAAGGCACTGTGTCTCTAGTCGTGTAGAGATCTGTTTCACAAACACAATGTGTTTGAGATGCGATACACATTCATGACTTCTCCACGCATTACCCTGCAGCCCGGTACGTATGTGGAGCTCGAGTAAGAATTACACTTAATGGGACCCAGAGATTAATTACAGTGACTTGGGGCGTGATTAATTAATCCACCAAAGTCTGAATGAGATTGCCCGATTATCTCTCACTGGCCTTTTCCTGCAGTATATAAACCAGACGACGCACTGTCGACTTAGTCTGTCACGCTCAGCTGCAGGACTGAAACAAGCTACAATGGAATTCAAAACAAACCCGACTGAATGACACTCGGCAGCCTCTGGCCCCGTCAGTGCTTGTTTTCTCATTGAAAGTGTGTTAGGATGGAGGCTTTGAGGTGAATACCATCGTCGGGTCAATTTTGAAATGTTTTTTTTAAGGAGGCCACCGACTTTTGTTTGGCTGATGAATCGACATTTTTGCGTGTGAATGTTTCTCATAGTAAAGTACATGACCATTATGGTCTTAAACTACAGATTCTCACACAGCACGCCGCAGCTTTTAGATGGAGAGATTTGCAAATATCACACAGCTGCAATCTCAAAATACAAATATGGCTCGAGACGTTCACGTTTCCGTTTAGCTGAGTCGTTGCGATTGTAATAAGCAGGCACGATTTGCTTTGAAGAATCCACTTGGTGACTGAAAACTGTGCTGTTGCTAGTCGGTGTTTGGCACCTACATATAGTAGGCAGGTTTAGACAGGAGCAAGAACTATCCCCAAACCTGTGCCCCCACAGGCTGAGTTGGAGCGCTTCAGTCTGCTCTTATGTACAGTTGAAAAACCTCCCTCAGACCTGATTCAGACACATACAGTAGGCTGTTACTCCAGTGGAAGAAACAAAAATAATACCTGCACTACGCCAACGTATCTTCTCTCGTCTAAAGACGGATTTCAGGAAAAATGTTATCAAATATAATGTCTCCTTCAATGAGTGCTTTGTATTCAGGAGGGCTGATTGTTGGGGTGGGGGGGGGTTCAATGCTGGACTAGAGTCTAAATACTTCTTCCCCAACTTTCCAACCAAGTACGAACGGACACATTCTTCATTCTGTAATCATTCCACCTGAATTCATTTCATTTGTAATCTATAGTGTTTTTTTGGCCTCTCTGAAAAAAAGCTCCTTCCCATCTCAGTCGGTTCATACCAGGTGCACTTGGTCCTCCCACTCGGAGGAGCTGGTGCTGGCCAGCTGGTCGGACACCGAGTCGCATTGCGGAGTGTCGACGCGGCAGACCTTTGAGCCTCCCCGTTCGGCAGGGTCTCTGCTTGTGTCGAGGGTGGCCATGTAGGGTAGCGGCATGCTGTCCAGCCCCACTAGATCCAACTGTGTCGGCCTCTGAGCGACGGCACACTGCTTCTCCTCCACGTCGCTCAGTCTCTGAGAGAAGAAACCCACTTCTGCCGTCCCTTCCTGAGGTTTCCTGCTTTCCGGCAGGACGCCCCCGTCGTTCTCGTCATCATGCAGGCATTCTTCTCCGCCTGCGTGGAGTGCGCTAAGGTTTGAGTCTGTGTCAGAGGAGGTTGAGGGGACCAGGGTGATGCCTTGAGGATTCATGTCGTGGAACCACGCCATGATGTTGCCCAGCAAATTAGCGTTTGCTCCTAATGCGGAGGACGTGGACGGGTCGTGGCTGCCGCATGTGGTCGAGTCTAATGTCTCGCTGGAAGATGAGAAGAGGCCCGTCGATGAGTCGCTGCCTCCTGGAGCCACTGGTATCGGCACTGAAGCCCCGTAGGCCCGGTGGTGACTGTCGCAGTGCTGCACAGAGGCGGAAACACCAGTGGCAGCAGAGTACTGGCTGCTGATGTTGATGGTAACAAGTCTAGCCAAGTTATCGCCCAGCTCCAGCAGTTCTGAGCTGCGTAGAGAAGCTCTGGAAAGGACGTCTACACCTGGAGCGCTCTGTTCGAGCCTAGAAGACAGCGAGGTGCCGATGGCGCCGAGTGAGGCGTCGTTGGCAAGGACGTCGTGGTTGGACTCGATCTCTGCCATTGCCGCGTCCTGGAGCGACAGCTGAATGGCCAGCAGAATGTTCGGGTCATCATCATCCAAAGAACCTAGACCCTGCAAGAAAATCCAGGATACAGTGTGAGTGATGCAGGCCAAACCAGTGTCATCCACTTACAAAGCACCAGCAGTTTCCAACCTGCACCAACTACTGGCAAGGAAGTAAGAGGAGCAGCAGGTTAGAACTGCAGATGGGAACACGCGCTGTACAATCTAGGAGAATAATAGCAGACAATCTTTGTTTTTTTAAAGATACTGTGTGAGGTTCTTACAGTTTAAAACTCCACAATGGTACAAGATAAGGCTGGTAATAATGTGTATTTTTGTTGTCAAACAAATGAAATAACGGTGATTTGGTTTGTCTGTGTGTTCCAGCTTGCTCAGCCAGTCTCTGGCTGTCAGCCCCCCCAAGCCCTGTCGCAACAGAAATACTTCTATTCTTAAAAAGGCAAGAAATGTCCATCTGGGAACTGTAGATTTTACCAAACGTTACTCAAACCAGAGTAGATGATTTAGTATTTGTAGGGGATCATTTTCAGCTGCAGATTTGGTGCACTAGTCAGTGACCTCATGTGCACGTGTTCATTGTAATAAAGAAGCATGTCGCCCAACAGTGGAGGTCTTCACTTCTTAAACCGTAGGTGGGTTTCACTTCTTTTGTACATTGACATTTAAATCTGTCTATTTTAACAGACAGAAATCACAAGGCCTTACTGACACCAAAGGATTCAAACAAACTGTCTTTGTATCTTAAGACCCCAATTTTGAATCTGACTCAATATTCTATCTTTTGTATGATTTAAGTGTACAATATTATTATTGGAAGAAGTGCATTAAAAATGTTTTGTTGCGATTGCCTTTAACCCTCCCGAACCTCAGCACCGTCATGCCACAGTGAGGAATAAAACATCCCTTCAGAAAACAAAGCAGCTAGATTAATGCCGTACACCTTTGACATTGTCTGAAAGATCTCAAAGGATGAAAGCCTTGAGCTGAGAGCAAAATGGCAACTGTGCACTCACCATCAGATGATGTCTACGTCCACCTCCGAGATCCTGTGCGTCTTTGTAGAAAAAGAAACAGACCAATAGCCCAGTTGTTAAACTCAATCTTTACAGCTGCACCTGGATGGCTAATTTAACCCATTTCTAATTTCCACTTTTAGGAAAATCATCTTCATTTTAGTGAACACTGCAGAATGATCGGAAGCGACCTGTGCCCCTCAGCGTTTCCTCAGGAAATTCACTAATTTTTTATCTCCATCTGAAATCAATTATTCCTTCTGACACGACAAAATCTTTCCAGCTGGCTTCAAAAACTGCAAACTCTGTCCTGGTTTCATTCCCCACTGCCAAAAACAAAGCAGCGCTGTCGTGGACAACACTGATGGATTAGAAATATTGGCTTGTTCAACTTCAGCAGTTGTGATTTTCCAGTTTGGGCCAGTACCCTCATTTGGGTTTCTGTACAAATCATTATTGAAAACTGAGGGAGGATTACTGGATCAATGTCGTTTGTATATATATTATTTAATCATAGATTACAAAACCTGGCGATAGCACGACACTGAATTAGCATTTTTTTTTTTTTTTTTTAAATGTACTTCACCCTCATTTCCTGACTTTGCAAAAAAAAAAAAAAAAACTACTGTGACAAATTACCCCACAAACGAAGGTCGACATATGAGAATAAAGTGCAGCCCTGAGAAAGTGTCCCTGTGTGTCCGCTGCAGTACCTAACATGCTGTCGCTGGAGTCGTCGGGGTCGGGTGTGTTGCTGCGGAGACTGGACATGTCACCTCGCCTCCGCTGCCGATGTCTCCGTCTGTACTGGAACTCTGCGTACTCCTGAAAAAACGACAACAACAACAATTAACAAAACTTTGAAAAATGCTTTAATGCTGCGTGAGTCACAATGTCCTTGACTCTCATCATCAACACATCGCTTTCTGACCAGAGAAGGTTTATTCAGGTCTATTGCTGATCTGGGGCTGCAGTTGCATATTTTCTTTGATTCCTGCCTTGGGTTCTTTTGTTATAAACAATTAAAAGGTGAATTTGTAAACTGTAACAAGTAGTGATGCAGTCTGCTTCAAATGTGGTCTGAGTGTTCTGTTCCAGGAAAGATCAATGATCTGAGAGTTCATTCAAACTCTTTCATCTCCAACCCAAGCCTTCAATCATTAGGCTCCGGTCTAGACTGCATCCAAAGCAGAGGACCCACTCACTCACTAGAAGGGAATTGGAAATTCAGCAACATGAGTACTGAGGTTCAGATGTTTGAAAATGCTGTGTGTGTGTGCGTGTGTGTGTGCGTGCGTGTGCGTGTGTGTGTGCGTGTGTGCCTCCCCAACTAGTCTCAAAAGCAACCAGAACATCTTAGCAGGAGTGGTTGTAAGTAAAAAGTGAAATATTCATTTACTGGCAAGTTTAAAAAACACTAATCAGAATGAATTCAGAATGATACTTATTTTGTCCAGGTTCAGTTATAATTTGTATGGAATAATGTAAAATCCCACATTTAACTGGCCTTAAATCAGTCTATATCTAATCTAAGCATGTATTACAAGTATAGAATTTTAAACTGAATATAATAGTGTATGCGTCTTTCATCTTAGTTTCACTTCTAACCATGCAAGAGTTATTTTTGAAGTAATATTTCTACAGAGTATGAATTATAATTTCAGGGTTCTGCTTGAACCAGATGGTGCTTGTACTGGTCAATTACACACTCAAAGTCAATTGCAATGCCACTGCCAACCCAAAATTTCTATTCTTTTGGTTGTAGACCAACATGAAAAGGTCACATATATACTGACTTTGCACATCTGCATATCAGAATCAACTGCATTCTCCATTCACCCGTCTCATACATTTGCAAAAGGTGCCGAGCCACATTCATATAATCAAAAGCCCATCACCCGAACACTGTCGTTCGTGTTTCCACCGCTCTAAAAATAGCCCACTATGAAGGGATCTGCAGGCTGTGTAAGAAGCCTGGAGCAGACCATCTGTAGCTGTGCCTGTGAGGCAGAGTCATCAGGCCGTGGTTATTACTGTGGCGCTCCCATTAACTACTGCAGCTGAGAGACACAAGCTCTTAATTAGGGGACAAAAATAACCCCCCCCCTTTTTTTTAAGAGTGTTTAGCATCTGGTGGCAACATTTATTGTGAACTTCCTCATAGACACAAGTGCCCAAAATATGTTTTTGATGATTTGTTTGTAATTTAAATCCAGTTCCTTTGTCCTTTTCTCGAGGTGAGATGAGTTTTACATTCATAATTTGTTCTTTTGAAGATAAGTTACATCTTTGTAGTGTGCGCCTGGCCTAGGTCATCTTTTCTTGTGCAGTAAACTAATAGATAGGTCCCCATAATAATAAGGTATGACAGAGATGATAGACGGCAAACTAAACAAATAGTATTCCTAGTTACTTCACAGTGTAGCCAAACATAAACGTCCATTTATGTCTTACGTGGAACAGCAGCGAGGATCAACATCCTTTATAATGTATGATGTACAGACAACGGAGCATCTACCTGGATCATGGTACCTTGTCAAGATAATTAAACATTTTATGAGCAGACTTATGAATAAAAAAAAATTAAAAAAAGTGTTTTTGTTCAGACATCCTTTGCATCACTGAGTCTTGTTTTTTGAAGCTTTAAGTCTGGAAAACAGCTTAACACACTGGGTCCAGGTTTGGACAACAGTGACCATTTACTCAGTAATCCTTGAGTAAACGAAAGCTTTACAAAGCGTTACCTATGCCTCACTGCACGGTGCTGAGCAGGCAGAGGATAAGGAGATTCATAATTCATTCCTCAAACTGGCCGAGCAGACTGATCTTGTCATTAGTTTTCCTGTCAATAGGGAAATGCCCGCTTCATGCTGTTAAAAGGTGTGCACCATAAACCCGAGAGGCTCAGGTTTGCTGTGAGATTTGCATATTTGTGTGCCGTTTTAAGGAGCCTAAGGAGAGCTGTTTAGCTGAGCGAATGGTGTTCCGGATGAGGAGCCTGTACGTTTAAAAAAAAAAAAAAAAAACCTGCCACAGTCTAGAAACTAAACAATAATAAAAGCTTAGAGGAGTAACTCCACTACTGAGAGCATGTATCAAGCTGTGCAGAAAACAGAAGCAGGTCAATAATCAAACCATTACGTGGTTGACAGTTTTATGACTGTAAAAGTTAACTACAAATGCCCGTTACTAATGCGCAATGATCGGGAGCAACCTGCTTTGGTGTTTGCCAGAGTGCTACTCTTTCAATCATTCCAACTGGGTGCACAGGGGAACACTGAAGCATCTGGCTCGCTCCAGTGTGTTAAATAACACGCTGATCTTTGGGTTACTGTGGTTTGTCAGTGCTGCTACACATCCGAAGTTAAACCAGCAGTATTTAAAGGTTTAGATATACATACTGACTTTATAAAACCAAAGAAATACGTATAATGTAGGGCTGTGTCATTTGATTACATTGTAATTGGATTTAAACTAATTCGATGTATATTTTTACATTATTCTAATGATGTTTGTTTTCAATTGTAGATTTATCAATTCATATGTCAAAATGAAGAGTCTTCTGTCCATTAACACGTTGAAGTGCAATTCAACTTTTGTTCTCATCATTCATCGAGCATCAAGATGAATGATTAGCATCTAAAATAGTACATCATCTTAAGGGGCACTACTAATTTGACAACAAATATAAAATAATATGCATTTTTTATTCAAACAGCACAGAGGACCTAACTGAGAACGAATGAAGAGTGGCTGTTACCTCGGGGGATGCAAAGCCTAAATACTCCCAGTCCCACGTTCCGCCAGCAAAACTGCGAGTGAGGAGAGAGACGGAGGAAAGATTTAGTCGCTAAAAGATTGTGATTAATTGCTGAATTTTTTATAGCTAATTAGTCACTTTTTATTATTTGAAACTGCAGTTCTGTTATATTACAGCTCTGTTTTTCATAGTAAAAACTAGACACTTTATTGAGCCGCATGCCTAGATTTTACCTGCGCCTGGGGGCTTCAGGAGAGTCATTGGGGGCCACTCCCCTGGCTACTGAGGCAAGGAACTCCTGCCTCTTCTGCTGAACAAGACATGCCGCACGGATGATTTTGTGGCGCGGCGTCCTGAGATAAGGCCGGTTAACCTTTTGTGCCAGGTCCTCAGTCACCATCTCCAAGTCCGTCTGAGGACAGAAAGAGAGCTGGCTGGGTTTTTCTTTTTTGGAAAGGCAAAGTGATTTTAGTAGTGTGTGTGTGTGTGTGTGTGTGTGTGTGTGTGTGTGTGAATACAGGATTTCAAGTTTAACTTCATGGTCTGTTCCCCAACTGGAATGTTCAAGGACAAAGTGACTTTAGAAGTGGCCCTACAAGTGAACTGCTTTTAGGGCCAGTGTGTATGCATCTTTAAAAATGTATTATTTTTACAAGCCTGTGAGAGACACTACTGTAAGTATGTGTGCCTCCTCATTCATTTTACAGTATTTAAAAGGCCACAATATTAAAGATAGCAGGTACTGTAAGTACTTTCCTCGTCTTTACCGGCAATCATAAATTATTTAATGCTAGATCTTTAACTAAAAGCTGAGATGGGCAGGTATAACTGGGGCAGACTGTGAAGATCATGTGGTAGAAAGCTTTAGTCCTAAATCTCTAATGGCCCACATGAAACCGGCTGCTGTGAACATTTGTCTTTTTTTCCTGAATAAGTAGGACTGAAACCTGCATGAGCTCGTAGATCTCTTTCTTTGTGCTTTTGGGCTCCAGAAAGAACCCGTAAGGATAAGAGCACTTCAGGATGCGGCGAGTCTTTAGTAGTTCTAGGACGGCATCTTCAATGAATGTAGTGTCAGGTGGGCCTCCTTCCCCTGGAGAAGAGAAGGACAGAGTCAAAAAAAATGGGTTTCTGCTTTACATTTGTCGAGTGTGCATCCCCTATTCCAGCCTAAATGACCTACACATGTAGGTAGATTAGTACGCACGATGATAAATCCTGAGACAAAGCATATGAAAGAACGGCTCTGTTGTATTAATTATGGTGTTATAGATACTGTTATTCTATAATAAAGGGAAAAATTTACAGATTTTCAACCTGACCTATCTAATAGGGAAATCTAGTGTGAAAATGGCCTGCAGTTCTCACCGATGTTCTCTGTGTCTCTGGAGCGCAGCTGCAAAATCTATCGTCCTTCCTGCACTCAGTGACGCAATATGAAGTCGTCGGAGTGAAGGAAGCACTACAGAGTGCTGCAGGGCACAATGCCAATCAAAAACGTTCTGCTCTTCTCTTCGCTTGCTTGCATTAAGGTTTTCAGCAGCAGACCAGCAGGGCGATTTGTATTTTGTAGATGTAATGGTCTGCCTCTGAGGGAGTACTTTCTTGACATTTTGTGGCTAACAGAAAGCTAAGAGAGCTTGTGTAATGCAGCAAACTTGTTGCTCATGCACAATGCACCCTGGTATATGTAGGCCCGTCTACCACAGCTCCGTGAGAAGGAGAGAATAGTCAATACAGCAGGCACCAGGGGATTTATGTCTTCATTGGACAACATTTATATTCAGCTCTGTATGGAAATCCACATAAACGGTTGGCAATGTTCCCTTTAAGCGATGTAGATGGCGGAGGAGGGCCATGACATTACGATGTGCTCTTTTGAATACAACAAAAGAACACATCCATATTCACATCTGCATCCGAATACACAATAGTAAGTCAATCGTGGTGATTTGCTATTTTGTGAGTGTAAAACCTGTCTGCAAATGTCTTGCGCAAGATGAATTGTGCAAACTTTCAACTGAGCCAGACTCGTAAACAACGAGTTATGGCAATTTCCATTTCTCTGTCAGCTGATCAGACTTATATTAGTAACACCGCTGCAATCAGAATCTACAGAAATTCAAGCTGAGCGTTGTGTATCAGAAGAAAACGTGGCTGTTCTAAAGGTTGTAAGTGCTTGTACCGGTCGGGGGTTTAAAGCACTCTAAACAAAGCTGATTCACAAAGCACCGCTTTCTGTTGAGGGTTGCCTGCTGACTGATAACTACAGCCATTGTTGTGCTGTTAATATATTAACATAACACCTTTGTGTCTGCCTACCTCCAGACGCTCGGTATCAGAGGACGAGATTAAGATGTGTCTAAATGTGTTGTGAAGACTGACACCGTTACGGAAGACTGCACACTCACTTCCACTCAGGGCTCGACTGAGCTGCTCCATCTTCTCTTTGGCTGTTTTTAACAGGCGCTGCTCCAGCTATTGTGAGGAAGACAGACGACGTTAGGTTTTACGGTGAGGCAAAAAATTGTCTTGAGAAGACTGCCCGCCAAAACAATGAAGCCACTATATGAAGCTGGATAAATTGGCAATAAATCAATTATCAATTATTTCTGCCACAGCAATCGTTGAAAAAGTAGGACAGTCGCCAGTAATATTGTAAATGTACTAAATACAGAATTACCATACTTTATATTGCATTAGTGAGTATAGCCCACCTATGAGGGCATGTGCCGTTACAATAGAGGACAAGTTCCCGCTGCCTCAACCCCTACATGGCTGTTTGTACACGATGCAAAGCAGACATCATTGTAAGGCAAAGTCAGGCCTGCTTACCTGATAGCTGTGCTCGTGGTTCTTGAAGCGTGTGTAGTAGTGCATAAAACGGTCGAGTTCCTGGAAGCTCTTGTGCTTCATTTCTGCCTGCAAAACCGTGATGAGACACCAGTCACAGTCAATAAAGCCATGAGCATGTTGTTCCCCCCCCCCACAGAGGAAAAGAGTAGACACTCCGGTTGAGCGCAGTCAAAGTAAGCGAGTAGTGCCACGAGGTGAAATCAGCACTTGTGATTGGGAGGATTGCTAGTGAAGACTGAGAATGAACTTCTTTTTAACTTTGCTGAAGGTGGGCGGACTTCACTGTGGATGGCTCCATGGTTAAGAATCTAGACGCGTAGCTTGTGTGCGTGTTTTACATCTTACTTCTGTAAGTTCTATGGACTCAAATGCTTTCCTGTTGGAGTGTATAAGCACACAAACACAAGCAGTGTTCTTGGCTGTTTGCACACGTGCACCTATAACTGTGAAAGCTACGACTGAGAGAGAGTATGTATTAAAGTGATAGTTCTGATTTTTTGAACAGGAGATGGCGGTGGTCTTGGACAGGACTAGCGGCACCGAAGCTAAGCAATGTATTGCTGCGTAGGTCTGTAATAAACTAAGATCATCTTGGTCGGTTGAAATTCTACCAAGATTTTCTTAAAAGACGGCTCACCAGGGGGACGTGAAAGATTCTGCATCAATCCAGTGATGGAACATAATGAGGTTGGTTTCATTTCAGCTCAGTGGGAGTCTCTACTACGTTTTGCTGTCATTTTCTGTCTGCCGCGCTAGTTTCTCTCCTCTGATCTCCGTGTTTCACCGAGGGCGGAGCATTTGCAAACACTCACTACGTGTGCGCGGAGCTGAGACATTCCATCACCCGGCAGTCGGCCAGCTTGTTGCTCTCGCTTTACTAATAGTAGCTGCTCTGTTTCAATAACGTTGGGCTGAAAAAAACGATCACGCAGGCTGAAATTCATCTGCAAATTTGTTCTGTCGGGAGATACGGTGACTTAAAAGATATAGAAAGAGTCGTAGAGCGTAAGTCGTAAGGAAAAGTCTGCTAGCTGCATTTTTGGAAATGGGACATTTAAGTGTTCTGAAACACATGATGAATGTGATGTTGATCAACTCGAGCCACTCTGCTTCCTAATTTTGTAGCAGGACGATCTGAAAATAAGTGCCCATCTCTAATGTGTGTGTGTGTCTACCTCTTCAGTCATCTCCTTTGACTGCTCCTCCACCTGCTGGATGACTTCGTAGCGAGTGCAACGATAGTAGCCTCCTGTTGACGAGCTGTGCTTTTTCCACTCCTCCAGACAGATCCAGCAGAAGTCATACTTGCACTACAAGGGAGAGAAAGGAAATATCAGACTTTAATCTGTTCTGGTCAGCCGTCACATCAAAAACCGCATAGCTAAATACCAATACTAGTCCAGATGTACTGGGGTAATTTATATTTCATGAATTGAATACACACACAATTGTTTATTTTCACCTGATTAATCTCCCCTAAAGTAAAAATACTTTCTAACTTAGCTGAAGTTGTGTAACTCCGAACATTATCAAGTACGGATCTCTGAGGATATGAGAACTAAAAAGATTAAAAATCTGTTTTTTCTGCTCTCAAAATCAGAAAAAGAATTAAGGGTGAATGAGATCTTTAAAAGTCCCTGAACCTTGGACTCAGGATCTACTTACTTGTCTCTGCGCTGTCTCTGTCTGTCTATCTTCTTCCCATCTATTATTTGTTCCTTTATAAATGGCAGAGTTTAATGGACACAGGCTTTTGTTTGCGATGAATCCTCGTAGCCTGCTGCCACTAGAAGGCACTCAGACTATATTTGAGAACGCAAGTTCCATTGGGTATTGTAACACTACAAAACAGTGCGGCCACTCGAATCTGCTGCGTCCTATTTGGGTGTAAGTGATTTCTTTCCCCATGCCACAAGTACTTCTGCAGGTGACAAGTTAGCCAGAGCATCACACAACCCTGAAAAGGCTGAGACCTCTGTTGTCCTGGGAACACCATGCTTACATGACGCTCCAGGAAAATCAATACCAAATAAAAGAGTGGGAGGGCAGAGAGACACAAAAAGATAGCTTGTGAAATGGTGAGAAATAAAGTGTTAAGCCAGACCGGAGGGAAGGAAATGGCAGCGAAAAGACACAGAAATTGTCCTTTGCGACACCGAGTCCTGTGTTTCCAAGCAACAGGGGCAAAGCCATTTCTTGCCAGGTAATAACGGGTCAAGAGGCTGAGCCCTCCGTGGCCTCTCAGCTGCTCTGTTTCTCTCAAACTAATCTCCATCTCTAGTCAGCCTCTTTCACCGGGATGGAGACAAGTGAGAGGGCTGTCACAGAGACACAAGGACTGCACTGTGCGACTTTCATGGCCTGGCCCCTCCAGCGACAGTAACAGAGATACAGTCAGGCAGTCTGTGTGATTATCAGCCTCACACACTCTGTCTGAGTGTCTTTTCTTTTTTTGCCTCAGTCACCTCTGTATTACTCTCTCTTGTCCATCTAAGTAAGACAGAAGCTGCTGGATAACTACAGGACTTCCCAGAAGGCTTATGGATCATTTGTGAGCACGGCAGTATCATAAGCTGCCACTTGTAAAATAATATTTTATAATGACTGCTAAACGTGGCTGATGGCAGCTTGAAAGTAATTACTCATATTCACCTTCATAATTGTATTACATCACTGCTACGATTACCTTCACCAAAAACTAAAGAGCTTCTTACAAACAATGCTCTCAGTGATGTAACACATCAAGTGTTTCATACTCAATGATTTATTCATAAATATCAGATGAGTCCAAGGTGTAAATCCTAATAACCTGACAGACTATTACTAAATAACAGACAGTGTAAAATTTTGTGTATTGCCCAAAAGTGAATAACCAAAATCTGTTTTCTGAGATATTTGAAAGTTAAATAAGGCGTGTAATCATAAGCACCCCAAATAGTGCTAGAACACAGCAAAACCTGCCCTAAAGGAAAATATTTTATGAGCCACTACTTTAAATCCTTTGTTTCCATTAGGCTTCAGAAGTTTAAAAATGGAGCCACTTTTCACTGAGTTTCTCGGTGGACCAAATGTGTGCTTCTAAAATGATTTGAGTGCCTTCAGCTTACTTTCTCGTGTTGAACAAATTTCCCTCGTGATGCTCCCACCTAAACCTCTGTTAAAGCTGATTTAAAACCAGCATGCTCAAATCAAGTCCCACTCTCCTCCCCTCAGTTGCTCAACTCTCCATTTTTTAGCCATTGTGAGACACTACCTGCAACATCTAGATAGGCATGTGAAACCTCCCACCCTGACATTACCTTTGCACACTGCATGTGGTTGCAGCCCTCGTTTTTCTGTATTGGCGACTTGCAATTGGCGCAGGATTTGGAGTTCGAGAGCAACCACAAGCAGTTGGCGGCATCCTCGTAAGCTTCGCTCACACCAGCCACTGCGATAGGAGGAGGGGGAGGTAAAGAGATAAAGGCATAATGAGACAGAATGAGAATGACTATGACCACGCCGTCTAAACAGACCACTGCACCGAGTGGGAAATTGTCCCGTCTGACTAATGTGTATTGCTTATATATTTTGCTAACATCTCCCAAGATGCCCACGCACCCCGCACCCCCGCACCCCCCCCCCCTAGG